GTCTCTAGATATCCCTCGACAAATATTATCCAAATGTGTATTTGTATATATTTTGACAGCACTGTCCCTGTCCCCTCCCTGGGTGTCCCTGAGCTGGGACTCATATTCACTGAAGGACTTGTCAGTTTAAGGGTAACTAATGAAAAGGTTAAAGTCAAAAATCATTGGTTTCCACTCCATGGGAAGATAATGCAGCCTGACCCTGCTATAAGAAGTTAGATTACCCCATACCTTTTGAGCAACCCCCCTGCTGAGGCAGGGCGGAAATGCCATTAGTGAGTCGGCAGAGGGCAAGCCATGATGCACACACTGCTGTCAGCCAGCCAGGTGGGACCCAGATGCTTGTAGGATAGCAGGAAGAGACTTTACTGGAGCCACGAAGCTCAACAATCTGGCAGGGGACGAGTGACTTGTGAGGTGGCAACAGTCCCAGGGGCCCTTTGCGGACAAACAGGGAAAGTGGCTGAATCAAGCACATGTGAAAGAAGCATCTGGTGGTGATGGGGCCTACCCCATAAGAGTGGGGGTGTCCTGTGGCTGGGGTTCCAGCTCCAGTGGAATGAGAACATCCTATGGAGCTGCCCCACCAGCTCTTTCCAGCAAGTCTTTCCTTACCTCGGTACCAGCCGACTCTCTGTGATGTGCGAACCCCCACATAGCTGGTAAATGGGCAGATGATACCTGAAGTGAGGCTGATCTCAACTGCGTGATGCCTTGGTTCATCCCCTGTCCCACTCACAGCCTCTGGCAACAACCTCTTCAGCAAGCAACTCGCGGCCAGACGATGCCCAGCCAGCCTGGGGACATAGTAGGGTGAGGCCAGACCATCTGGCTCATGTCCATGCTGGGGAAAGGTGGACACAAAAAGAGCCTGGACACCTAGGTTCTCTCCCTCCAGGGGTGAGTATGGACAGAGGGGAAACCTGGATGCCTGTGTCCTCATCTGTCTGGAGGGAAGTGATGCCCAGATTCCTGGGTCCTACCCCTGTGGGGTCAAAGCAGGGAAGAAGGGCATGCTTGGACATCTGGGTTCTCTGCCAGTTTTAGATTGTGTGTGGAAGATGGGAATGCATAAGCTATCTGGGCCCTCTCTCAGCTGGAGTACATGTTAGAAGGAGGGGATGCATGCATCTTCCCCTAGGGCAGGCTCTCACCGGCCATCTCCCTGTGGACACAGTGGAAATTCAATGGTGTGAGTAACATCCTGGCCATCCAGGCAGTACTGCAACGACAAGACTCCCTTGGCCACCATCATATCCTGGGAACACGTGAAGATACTGGAAGTTACTGGGGATGTGACATGGTTACTCAGGGATATTGGGAAGTTACTGAAAGATTACTGGTGATTACTGGGAGTCTACCGGGAGGTAACTGGGGGTTACTGTAGTCCCAGCTCTCACCTGGGCCTGTCCATGGATCCGGGCATAGAGAAGGCTGTGTTGACCCTGAAAGATGGCCTGAGGGGTGCCCCCCAGCACCTCAACCCCAAGACCACGGGGCAGGGTCCAGCTCAGAGAGACTCCCTCAGCTGCTGGCTTGAGGGCCTGTTTCAGGCATTTCAGCACCTGTGGACAGAGGACAGGAAAACAGTTCGCAGCTCTGCCAGGGTTCAGCCCATGGTCCCTGGTGCTGAGGTTCCCGGGGACAGTGGAATGTGTGGGGTAGCCTGTGCCAGCTGGAGTCCCTGGGTGCAGTCAGGTCTGTGGGTTCTCAGTGCAGTGGGGCAGTGGGGTAGTGCCAGGGCAAGTCTGAGTGCTTGGGTTCCTGGGGCAGCTGGGTCTAAACTACTGTGTGTGAGCCATCCAGCTGCTGGGGTGCTTGCAAGTCAGTGTGTCTGTGGAATAGAGGGGGGACATGCCAGGGCTCCTGGGTTCCTACCACAACTGTCATACTGTTGTCAGAGGAGACGTAGGCAGCTTCACCCCCTGTCTCCCTGGCCAGGGCCGTAGCCAGGGCAGCACTGTCCTCAGAGAAGTAGAAGGAGAAACACCTATGGGGGAAGCAGGGAAAGGTGTCAGAAATTAAAGTCAGAGGTGGGTAAAAGGATTCTGGGGTAGAGGTGGAGAAATAGACTGGAGTTGAAGTCGGAGGAACAAAGGTGGGGTGCAGAACAAGGGGTCAGGAGAAGGAACAGGGAGTAAGGAACAGGGATTGGAGCAGACGTGAGACAGGGAGCTGGCAGAGGAGAGCTGGGACTTGGGGTAGGGCTGGGATCGGTCTAGTGTGGCTGGGGCAGAGCCCTGGGACACATGAGGGTATACTACCCCTGGGCCTCAGCCTCCCTGCTGACTCTGTGAAGGGTGCTTTCGTTGCAGGAGTAGTAAGCAAAGACTCCTACATGGGGGTTTGGCACTGGAAAGCTGTGCAGTTTCCCAGCTAGGACACTGGAGGGGCCCAAGGATTGGGACAGGAATTGGTGAACTAGGGCTCTCATCAGGGATGGAAATGACTGGACAATCAACGGGTGACTGGAGGACTTGGGGCAGAAAGTCCCCGTTACCGGTGGCTGTTGCGGTGCCGACAGACCTCAGCTGCAATGGCCTCCTTGTCAGAGGGTAGCCCAGCCATGAAGATGAAGAGCTGTGAGACAAGGAACATGAGTGGTGGGGCTCTGCACAGGGACTCAAAAATGGGGAGATCAGGACCCTGAAATGGAGAGAGGGGCCCAGGAGAGGGACCCCCTGTAGAGAGACTATTCCAGGGAGAAATATGGACTCAGGGACAGATACAAACCCGCTTCTTCATTCCCCCACACCCCACAGTATCCTTCTTGTTCCCTTGTGACCATGTGCTTTGGGTGGGTCCTTCCACCCAGACTCCTGTGTCCTCTCTCTCCCCCGGGACACCTGTCCCTGCACACATCCATGTCCCTATACCCAGACCTGGCGCGTATGTCCGTGGGGGCGAGGAGTGTTGTAGATTGAGCGGAGGGTTTCCAGCAGGTTCATGTCACCCTGTCTGGAGCTGGTGGAGGGGATGCGCTGCATGGCCTCAGTCAGGTTGTCCTGAGTATATTCAACACTTTGCCTGCAAGGGGCACAGCATGTTTGGAGAGCATTTTGCTCTATGCTGTCCCTAGTGCTCTCTGAGATCCTGCCCCATAGCACTTCCCACAGCTATGTCCTAGGGTCCTCTGCAAGTCCCTGCCCCACAGCAGTTCTTGAAGCAGTCTGTCTTCATAGTTCCTACCAAACTCTGCTCAACAAAACCCCCATAATGCCCCAAAGATCTCATCCACAGAATCCAGCCCTGCCCTACAGTACCCAGTTGTGCTCTCCAGCACCCAACCTTGCCCTATACCCACCAGTGGATTTCAGAGCATTGCACACTTGCCCTCCAGCATTTAACCCTGTCTCATAGCACCCACTCCACCCCCACTGCACCCAGCCATGCCCAACAGTATCCAGTCCTATCCATCAGTACCTAATCCAGCCCCATAGCATGCAGCCTGCCCCATATTTGCTCACGGGTAGATGCCCACAGAGGTTTCTCCATAGCAGTAGATGTTGAAGTAGCAGCCCAGGGGCAGGCTTTTGAGAAGGAAGAGCAGGGAGTCCTGTGGAAAGACACAGCAGGCAGGACTTGGGAGGCACTGGTATGGGATGCAGATGCCTTTCCCTGTAGTCTGGTCCTGCTAAAGCCTCTGGGCTCCCCTGGGTGACCTGAGCCAGTGCCCCAAACTTGCCCAAGCAACCGAGAAATTTCAGGACCATTTCAGGCCCCGCCAGTCCCCCCACACATCTGTGTCCCTCTGTAAATGACTGCCCTAGCCTGCTCCCCATCAGTCTGCTGCTCCGCCCCATCATGGGCCTTGCTCTGCAGGGGTACCTGTGCATGCTCAAGAAAAGTGGTCTCCAGGAGGAAGATGAACTCTCCAGACTGGCGTTGCCCAGGCACTGCCTCAGGAATGCTGGGTGCCAGCATCACCAACACCATGGGGTCACCAAGCAGGGATCCTGAAGGAGGTGTAAGGCCAGATGAAGGTCAGATAAGGACCCTTTTCCTCCTCCTGGTTCTAATTCTTCTTGTGCTAGAACACTCATGATGCACGACACTGGCACCTCAATGCCCTACTTTACTGTCCACCAATTGCACAACCCACTATCCCATGTATTCCAACCCACTGCCTTCAATACAGCTGCCCAGTGAGCCCTAACATAGAACTCTCCATAGGCATCCTGATATACATCACCAGTGTCCCCAGCACCTCATCCTGGAACCCCAGGATCCAAACTATCCCATCTGAATGCCTCCCATTCCCATCCCTGTGCCCAGTGATATCTCTTCCCCCAGAATCCCCAGTGTCTCCCTGTGCTTCAATGCCACCTGCAACCCAAAGTTGCTTCCATGTTCCCTCCTCAGCTGCACTCACCTGGAGGGGACCCAGGGTCTCCCTTCTCCACTACGGCACTGATTCCAGTAGGGTCTTGAAAATATACCAGCAGCTCCAAATCATGCTGACCTGGGGGGCTGCCAGCCAGTGAGACCTGGAGAAAGGGTGCCTGGTCATACACAGGAGGAAGGGATCAGACCCAGCATTTGGCCTGGAGCACAGGCACTGACCCCAGTGCATCCCCTTTTTCTTAGTGATGACACCCCTTCCCAGCTCCTCATGGGATCCTGGCACTCAGGATGTCATACCTGTGCAGTGCTGTGGTCCTGGGCAGTGTAGACCACAGGGGTGAGGGCGAAGTTGGCCTGAACACTGGCCACTCCACGAGGTGACTGCAGGCTAGCAGTGAGCAGCAGGCTGTAGGGCAGCTTGCTGATGCGACAATTACAGGCTGCAAGGAGAAACATGGCACTGGGGAGGGCAAAGGCTCTCTCTGCAGGGGTGAGGGATGGAAAGAGGCAGGATTTGGCATCCATACTTAGGACTTATGGAGAGAATTGGGGGTTGCCAATCAGGTGTATGAAGGGGTCCATGAGTCTGTTTATGTAAAATGTGTGTGGGAGGTGTGGATCCCCTCATGTGGCACAAGGAAGAATATGTGGATCTGTCCAGGAGCTGCATGGGAGAAAAACGTGGGTCCCCATGTGGGTGCAAAAGGAAGTCACATTGGTTTGTTCATAAAGTACACGGGGAGTCTGTGGCCCTTCTGTGAGATGTGACTGGGAGGGCAGGTTCTTTGTGGGGTTGCTCACCATAGAGGTCTGTGTAGGGATGCAGTGTGGGTGGCAGCACAAAATGTGCTGCTCCATCAGGCTCCCGTGGCAGTTCTTGGACATATCGCAAGGTCACGACCACCTCCCTGCCAGGGGCCAGGGTGCCCAGGAAGCAGGCAAACACCTCGCCTGGATACTGAGACTGATCCTGAAGGTATTCCAGATTCTCCCAGCCCCCTGTAGCCTCGTGCAGCTGCTGGGCCTGGGTGGGAAGGAGAGGGACAGAAAGCTGATCACCAGGCAGGCTCATCCCATGCCTGCCCATTTGTCCCTGGATGCTAGTACCTCATCACGCAGCATGGCCAGGACCTTGGCATCCTCACTTTGGGCCTGGAAGGAGTAGATGGCCATGTCGGGGCCCAGGGGGAAGGCAAAGAGGACTTCTGTGGAGATTGGACTCTTGTTCTGGTAGATGAGTTCAGAGGCCACATCAGCCACGTAGTCTTGGATAGCAACATCCACTACAACACTACACAGAGGCAATTTGTAAAGGGGTATACGGAGCCACTTCCCCAGCAAAAAGGATCCTGTTGCTGTTGAGAGAGATGCAATGTGTCCATCACCACACATGAATGACACAAGGAAGTGGTTGGGGCTGCTTCAGTGTGTGCTGTTCCCACCCTGGAAACCAAGACTATGTGATCACTGTTATTGAGGGTCTAGTGTGAGCCTGCCATAGAACACTATCTGTCCCCCATCCCCCAGCTTTCCTTCCCCACCCACATCCTGTAAAGCTCTTGACCATACCCATCCCTGTTTCACGCTGGGAAGATCTGTCCATCTATTTCCCCCTATGGCTGCCTATCCTCCTTCTTTTTTTTTGGTCCCCCTTTGGGAGCATTCCTCATCCGCCAAATGTCCCTCAGCTGTTTGATCCCCAGCTCACTGTCGTGGGTGTAGGATTTTCCTAGAAGTCCCAAGCTCTGACGCCACATTTCTGGAGACCTGCGGACAAGAAGGGTTTCCTGTAAGAGGTGAGATCTACAGAAACCACTAAGCAGTCCCTATTTGATGAAGATTCCTTGCTGTTTCCCCAGTCCTACACACATAGCTGGGAGTCCCAACCCACCACGTACAGCCAGAGCAAACCCAGGGATTCAGAAAACCTTGTTCATGAGTACTGGGAGGTCACCAGGAGTATCTCTGCCTTGAGGAGGTCTGCACCCCACCCCTACCATGGGAGAATCATGAAGAGAACTGAGGGTTAGCAAGGGGGGATGGAGGGAAGGAGGCATGAAAGCAAGAGTGGATGGATAGGTGGAACTGTATTGAGATGAACAACAGATTGGCAGACGAGGTCCATTTTGGGACAGATGGATGCGTAGGTGGACAAACAAAAGAAATTTGTTGAAATGGATAGATGAACAGGTGGAGGGGTCCATTTTAGAAGAGATGAGCAGGTACCCATCACAAACAGTACTGTGTGAATGTAGCTGCACAAGAGCTAGCACATGTGAGGGTATGTTCATGGGGTAACTTGTGAGGGCAGGTTGAAACTCTAGATAATAAGGCTGAACATGATGGAAAGAGAAATGAGGCCAGGGACAGGTATTCCAGGACTGCAGAGTAAATCCGAGAACGGGTATAGTTCAAGTGATATCTGTCTGTCTTCTGGCCAAGTGCTAGGTTAAAGGGACACCTCTTCATGCACATAAACCTCTCTGGTTCAGACACAGTTGCCTCAATTTCCCCAGTTCCTACTCTGGGGTGACAGGGTGGGAAGCACCAGAAAAATCCCCACCATGCTGACAGGATGGACAGACAGAGCAAATAGGGTGTAAGTCCTCGGGAGCACAGGGGTGAGGGAGGGACAGAGGGATGGATTGAACACGGCAAGCTCTCCCCAGGGAACAGGGGCAATGAACAGAGAATAAGGACAGAATAAGAAAGTGAAGCACAAGCACGCAGACACTTACCAATATCACGGTGAGAGTCAGCAGGGATGACCTTGACAATCGGATGGGTGGAGGGAGAGTTGGAAGAGTAAAGGGGAGAGAGGGGTAGGGGCAGACGGATGAGATACAGAGACAGAAGGGGGAGGGATAGACCGGCAGAGCAAGAGATGTCCAGCCAGGCAGGAAGATGCAGGGCTTCTTCCTGTCTGCAGAGGGATGGCTGCATTGCAGAGGCAGGGCGTCAGGCGGAAGGACGGACGGACGGGAAGTTGCGGGGGGGGGAGCAAGGCAGGGTCAGGGGGCGGAGACACATCGTTGCGAACCTCCTCCCGAGACCCCAGGCGCTCTGTTTCCTGGGGTCTGTGGGGGCAGCGGGGATCTGGGAGGCTGCAGGTTGGGGAGCGGAGAGGGAACACCCTCGGCGGAGAGGATCTGATC